GCTGGTCTCAAACTCCCGAGCTCATGCGATCCTGCTGCCTCGGCCTCCTTAAATGCTGAGATTACAGGCATGAACCACTGTGCCTGGCTGCCTTAGCCAAGTTTCTTAGTGTTGGAACTTCAGTTTCTTTGCTTGTAAAATTGGCGTAATAAAAAAAAGAGGTTAAAATGAGAGAGTGGTGGCAATTAAAAGACATATAAAACACCAGTAATTTATAGGAGGTCAGTAAGTATTCATTTCCTTCTTGTGAGCTTTTCCCTCTCTTCTTCTCAAGATATATGTATTTCTCCACTGCACTTATCACCATCTAACAGTAAGAGATAATTTACTTCTCCTTGTCGTCTCCCACGAGCCTGTCAGCATCTCCAGACTAGGGATTTTCATTTGTTTTGTGCCTGTCACCTTGAGCAAAGCCTCTTCTGAAACCCTTCCTTTGGACAGTGCCATCTTTGATTGACTTCTTTGCTCTCGCATCCATGACTTCTGTTTATGAGATTTTTTGGAAGATGTTTTTTGATAAGAAGATATTGGAGAAAAATTGCATTCTTTAGAAAGATAGCTAAACCAGGCCTGGCACAGTGACTCATATCTGTAATCCCAATACTTTGGGGGGCCAGGGTGGGAGGCTCACTTGAGCCCAGGAGTTCAAGACCAGCCTGGGCAACCTAGTGAGACATCATCTCTACAAACAAACAAACAAACAAACCTAGCCAGGCATCATGGTGCATGCCTGTAGTTCAAACTGAGGAGAACTTAGGCTGAGGTGATCCTCAGCCCAGGGGGTCATGGCTGCTGTAAGCCATGGTTATGCCATTGCACTCCAGCCTGGACAACAGAGTGAGACCCCTACTCAAAATTTAAAAAGAAAGAGAGAAGGTGAAGGAGAGAGAGGGAGGGAGGGAGGGAGAGAGAGAGAGAGAGAGAGAGAGAGAGAATTCCTAATAGGAATTATCCTTCTACTAGCCTGTTATCTGCTGCCCTCTAATGGCTGAGTTGAGTCACCATTGGAGGGAGGCCAGTGGCTTTTTCTTGGGGTAGTGACCAGTGCCTTGGCTTGGCAGGCAGCAGACTAGGACTGGGAAGGGGGAGAGAGAAAGATGTGTAGGTTACGGACATATCTATTTTCTTCTTTGCACTGACCTACGTAACCTCTGGTGGGGAGATCTATGGCTTTTGAGTCAGAATAAAGTTGAATACAAAGGGGAAGACAAAGGAAAAATAAAGGCATTTTCAGAGCAGCACTCATAGGAAAGTCAATGGCTCACCTGCCTTAGAACATCCTAAGTTGTTGGTGTAAAATGTGCATTCCTCAGATTCCTGAATTTGAATTAGGCTGAGGGCTAGGACTGACAATTATTCTGTAAGTTTGGGTGATTCGAGTACACTCTCAAGTTTGACACCTGAGGAATTATCTCTAAGCTTCTCTTTTCTTTTTTTTAAACAGAGATGAAGTGAGATTCTGACTCAAATAAACAAACAAACAAACAGACAGACAAACAAATAGAGATGGGGTCTTACTATGCTGCCCAGGCTGGTATCAAACTCCAGACAAACCAATAGAAATGGGTCTCACTATGTCGCCGAGGCTGCTTTCATACTCCTGACTTCAAGCTATGTCCCATCTGGGCCTCTCAAAGTGCTGGGATTACAGGCACGAGCGCCCATGCCCGGCCTCCAAACTTTTAAAATCATGGTGCCCCAGTGTATGTATGTTTGCTTGCTTATTATTTGTTCCTTTCTCTCTCTCTCTCTCTTTTCTATTTTTTTTTTGAGTTGGAGTCTCACTCTGTCCCCCAGACTGGAGTGCAGTGGCCACTCCTGGCCACCGCAGCCTCGACCTGCTGGGCTCCGGCAATCCTTCCGCCTCAGCCTTCCACGTAGCTGGAACTACAGGCGGGCACTACCATGCATGGTTAATTTTTTGATTTATTGTAGAGATGAGGTCTTGTCTGCCCAGGCGGGTCTCGAACCCGCGGGCTCAGGCAATCCACTCACCTCATCCTCCCAAAGGCACCAGATTACAGGCTGAGCCGCCGAGCCCGGCTTTCTCTCTCTCTCTCTTTTTTTAGAGATGAGGTCTTGTTAAGTTGCCCAGGATGGTCTCAAACTCCTGGGCTCAAGCAATCTTCCTGCCTCGATCTCCCAAAGTGCTGGGGTTATAGGCCTGGCCCAATTTTAATTTTAAGCCCATGAATCTGTATACTGAGATCACTCCAGCCTCATGTTCAATTTTATCTATCTTTTATTTTTATTTATTTATTTATTTTTGTGTAGGAGTCTCACTTTGTCGCCCAGGCTGGAGTTCAGTGGTATGCTTACGGTCACTGCAGCCTAGACTTGTTGGGCTCAGGCAATCCTTCCACCTCAGTCTTCCAAGTAGCAGGAGCCACAGGTGTGAGCCACCACGCCCAGCTAATTTTTTTATTTATTGCGGAGACGAGGTCTCACCATGTTGCCCAGGCTGGTCTCAAACTCCTGGGCTCAGGCAGTCCTCTCGCCTCAGCCTCCCAAAGTGCTGGGATTACAGGTGTGAGCCACTATGCTCGGCCTCATGTTCAATTTTAACATAGACTTCTACTTCCTTCTTGTATTGTCAATTCATTTTGGAATCTCCCTATGGTTTATTTCAGGGCTAAGAACTCTATTTCATTCAATTAGAGGGGACAGGAGAAAGAAATTAGGTGGTCTGGACATCTCCATTCATATAACAAATGTATTAATTGCCTATTATGAGCTAGGTCCCATGCTGGGCCATAGGGGTATAGATTTGACTCAGATACCATTTTTGCTTCAAAGAACTTGTAGTCCAAAGTATAGAAAAATAAGTAATATATTCAAGTAAGCATCACAAAGTTGGCAACTCCTGCAAGAGAAGTTTCTGGACAGTCTGAAGTTTAACCTTGGGGTGTGTGTGTGTGTGTGTGTGTGTGTGTGTGTGTGTGTGTGTGTGTGTTGGGGTAATCTCTCAAAGGGAGAGGACACCCATATTTGCCCTTTGTTTTCTATCTGTTCCTTTTAAGTCCTCTTATTCATGGTAGGCTGCTCCCCTAATTTTATGGTAACTGGATTTGAAAAATGACCTTTTGTGTGAAAGCTTGTTAAAGGCTTATTTCAGTTCTTCAACTATAAAATAATGAGACCAGATTTGATGACGACTATAATTCCTTTTTTTCAAAAATTCTGAATTGATGAAAACCCCCAATGATGGATTAATGCCTCTTAGCCACATTCAAACTTCCTAATCAAAGAACTTGGGTAGGTAAATCAGTACTAATAGCCCAGTGTCTCCGAACCTCTGGACCATCATTACTTGGGTCACCCTTTGAGACTTATGGTACTACCTTGTAATCGTATTCATCAGCTAAGTATGAGCTCCTGGGGGCAGGAACAAGGACTGTGTATATATGTACTGGGGTCATCTCATTTCCACTCTTGTGTCTCCTGGGCTGTGATCTAAGGCAATGGCTGCTCAGTGGTTGGTTTTCAGCCTCACCTGAGAGTTTTACAAATGAAGTAACTGACAAAAAAACAGACTTTCATGTCTCCTGCCCAGATTTTCAGATGCAGTAGGTGTAGGCTGCAGCTCAGAATTGGGTCATGTTAGAACATTTCCTGAGTGAGTTTGATGATCGGTCATGGTTGAAAACAAATGTCTAAACTGAATTGAAACACTGCGTGCACGCGTGTACGTGTGTGTGTGTGTGTGTGTGTGTGTGTGTATGTGTGTGTGTGTGTTTATAGTTCCCCCAACAAGATCTTCAGTGCCTTTCTGCCTGTCTTTCTTGTTTCTGCCTTTAAGTTTCAGATGCCAGATACAATCTCTGATCTCACAGAATTCTCGTTGTAACTCTTGGTGTGTTCGGTGCCTAACCCACTGGTGGTCAGCACACAGTTGGTGATTGTTAACTGCTTTCTTGATGACCATGAGAAACCCGGTTTTCAAGGCGCTTAACCCACACAGAGCAGCCTGTCAGCATGGCAGGGGCAGAGGGAGACCTTCCAGCTTGTGATTCCCTCTGAATTCTTCCTACTGGACGTCAGTCATGCTGACAGCCCTTGGGTGACTTCAAAATCTCCTGGATGATTGGTGATCTTTTCGATAGTCCTTTTACAGATGGGGAAACTGAGACTTAGGAAACAACTTCCCCAGGGTCCCTAAACTGGTATATTGTGGAGTTGGGGTTTGAACCCAAATCAGCTGAATGGGATTTGACTTCATATTAGTGTCTGTCTCATAAAACCAAAGCTCATGTCTTATTATAACATAAAGAATTAAGAATATCTATTGCCTTAATCCTGGGCAACAGGCTGATAAAATTATTACCTAAATCAACTTTTTAAAAACATTTTTTGGGATTGATCAAAGGAAGCATTTGTAGAAAAGCTAAGAAAAAGGCATTATTCATTGAACTTTTTACCCTTCCCTCCTAAAACATGCACAATCTCTTTTTTATTACCTCTGAATTCAGATTTTAATTTAATATACATAAGGGAACCCTAGCCAATAATGGCAATCTAAAAAAGACCAGTCACAAATCACTCAACAAACTAGCAAAAAAGACATTAAATAAAAAATATTTATGATACATCAATCATTCTTTTTTCCCGTTAATCTTAAAAACAAAATTGGTCTTCGCTTCTCATTTTTATTGTGCTTTCCTCCCTTGGATTTTGTAAAGCTTCCAAACATATAAACATCTTTATATACAAAGAAGCAAATATCACTGACATGTGACTTTATACATTTTATACTTTTAAAGAAAAAAATGTGAAAACGTTGCTTTCAGCCTGCTTCGATTCTAAAAAAGAAGCTAATCTGAGAGATTTATAAATCAAATTTGTCAAATGGCCAAACCGTTTTTAATTTGAAAATAACGCAATTCTAACTGGATCGAAGATGGGCTGGAAAGAGGATCAAGTCTGCCCTCGCTAAGCTTTGTGTGTTGGGAAGCAAATAGGAGTTCCCAAGCTCAGGAAGGAGAAGTCGAATGTGTCTTCCCTCATGCTGGAGAGCTGGAGCAGCCCATCTCGGAGGTTTAAACTGGTCCATCTCCCTAGAAGGCAGAAAAAGGGAATTAAGTATGCCGTTCTCCCTTTTCTGGGGAAATTATTTCTTCTCCCCTCTCCATCACCTGTCTTCCTCCCGCTCCTTATGGGTAGCTCATCTTGAATGATTTCTATACCTTTCTAACTTTGTTTCAGAGCTTTAATCGGTCACTTTCCTGAGTTGATGTTATAGAAATTAAGGTTCCATTTTGTTTTGCATCATTTATTATTATGAATGATTTTGGTAAGAGGTGCTGAGAGATCAAGTGCTACATGGAAAGTCGCAACTAGTAAGAAGAGTTGGGGCCAAGTGCGGTGGCTCCTGCCTATAATCCCAGACACTTGGGAGGCCGAGGCAAGAGGATTGCTTCAGCCCAGGGGTTCAAGACCAGCCTGGGCAATATAGTGAGAACTTGTCTCTGCTAGTAATAATAATAATAATAATTAGCCAGGGTTGGTGGTGCATGCCTGTAGTCTCAGCTACTGGGGAGGCTGAGGAGAAAAAAGTGTCTAAGCCCAGGAGGTCGAGACTGCAGTAAGCTGAGATCATGCCACTGCACTCCATCCAGGGTGGCAGAGAGAGGCCACAACTCAAAAGCAAAAAAAAGAAAAAAGTAAAACAGAAAAGCTGGCATTTGAACTGGGGAGGCTGAACCCAAAGATTGTGTTCCTTTCTTTGAAGCTGTACACCCTTACAAATCTTCATACTGTTAGTAAGTAACAGGCAGTTTCGTTTGCTTAGTCTTCTAAGAGTTGAATGCATATGCAAGGGGGGACCCAAACACCCTGAAATTATTTTTTGGAGGGCGGGCCCTTGTAGTACCTGGCTCCCCCAGCCAGGTAAGTGTTCTAGGAACCCTGTTGCTGTTGTGAGGAATTGTGCTCGGCTTCTGGGAATTGTTTTTGGAGATTCTTTCAGCACATTTGTCCATTTCATGATAGGTGATTTCCTTTTTTTTTTTTTTT